GCTCAAAAAGTTTTTGTTATTAATTATGTAAACTAACTTTTTGTAAGATACGGTAAACGCTAGAAAACAAATTAAAAGCGTATTTTAAAGATCATTTTTCAACCGTCATGAATTGTTACATACCAACCTTTAGGGCCTATTGGTGACATTGGAGAGGTGGAAGTCTAAATTTAGTTCATTACAATAACGTCAATGACCTTGAGCTCTGCTAGTAAGATGCCATGGTATGGTGGCGTGTCGGGGAGAAGGGTAATGGGGATTAATTATTGTGCTTACTCATTCGTTCTTACCCACAAACAAACTTATTTCAAGCCTAAAATGAAGAATGTAGATCTAACTTCTATATTCGTTTGGAAAACGTCAGTCTTAGAGGCAAGATGCCTGCGCGGTTCATCACAAGTTACTGTCTTAACTACTTTTTTTAGTAAGCCTATGTGTCGAGTATGTATCTTGTACAATGTAAAATCAAGATGACGTTGTTCAAACTAAGATATAAGTTTGGACTTCCTTGTGTGACCAAAATAGTCGCCTACAGAGCAACAGAAGAATCTACCATTTCTTATAAAATTAGTTTTATCGACATTTGCAGACAGTTCTATATAATTGTTTTTAAGGAAACCCAAAATCTATTGGCAATCATAAATTAATATGATTTGAATTTTTTGCCTCCTACAAATGAAATACCATGTGCATATTGGTCCTCTGGTCCTGTTAATACAATTTTGTGAAGGGTTTCTTTTATAATTTAAAACTATATCATTGCACAAGCATTTTCAAGGACTCTCTGCAGTTTTGCGTACTCTTGCAACTACTAATTCAAAAATTTAAGAATCAGTTTGGTGACCAATTAAAAATAATGTGTTGATACGTTATAAAAATTCAACTATTAAATATCATAGTTTTTGAGGGTGGGACTGGAAATGTATACTATATTATAGATTTGCATTCATAGTAGAACATTATAGACTTTAAGTAAACCAACAGAAAAAAGGTTGTTTAGAATTTCCAAGTTCATTTTAGAACAAACTGTTTGCTCCGCCTTCCAGTTAACTGAGAATTTCAAGAAGTAGAAACACATTAAATAAATAATAAGTGAAGTTAAATATAACATATTGTGTTTTAAAAAACATTACACAAACATCACGGATGCCAATATATTTCCAACCATACTAGGAATTTCCTAAAATTGATATTGTATGTTGAAATAGGTTTATTTAATAAAGTTGAGAATACTAAAGGTTCTACAAAACAAAACATTGAATAATAAAAATACATTTGTATTTAAAGTAACAGATAGATTGACAAAATTTTAAAACGATTAAATAATATCAAACAATATCAAATTGTTTACAGTATCACGGTTACAACTTTTAAACTACTCTTGTTATGACTCAATCTTAACGTCTTTAGGACCTTTCATTTTATGCTTTTGTTAGTGGGGACTGGTTAAAACACCACAGTACAGTAGGTTTTGCAAATATGATTGTGAGATGATATATAATCTGAACTAGTTTATGCATGTTGATAATAATATGTATTTTAATTTAAGTACTTTAATTGATTCGGTTATATGTTTACCTCATGAAAGAAAGAAAGAAAGAAAGAAAAAGCGCTTTATTTCCAAAATACCCAGTGCACAATAATTCGTCCCACGCAGGGGACGTGCCTACGCGCTACGGCAATGACCTCTCGGTCGTCTGCCGGGTTGGCACGTCTAAAACTAAATCAAAACAGTTATTGGATTCCTTTAAAATAAAATTATAAATCTTTCCATAAACTAACAATTATGGCCAATATTTTAAAGTTAAGAAATATAATACAATCCAACCAGTTTCTCTAGTTATATCGTTTTTTTTTTTTTTTTTTAGAAGTTTGGAAAAGTACGATATTTAAATTTTTTATGATATTTTTTCCTCAATTGTTAAATTCTTGTATTAAGAGGGTTCCCTACCCCCATTGAAAAACGTCAGAAAACCGCTTCGCGCGGTATCATATAGCGATTCTAGTTTTAACATTTAAATTGTGGACCAAACACCATTTTGTACATAAAGAGTGGTTCTACTAAGTTTGCTTTTTAAAAAATGTCTATGCTTACGCAATCAAGGGCAACGACTTGTCAAAGTTAGTGAACTTTAACTCTAAAGTTCACTAACTTTGACAAGTCGTTGCCCTTGATTGCGTAAGCATAGACAATTTTAAAAAGCAAACTTAGTAGAACCACTCTTTATGTACAAAATGGTGTTTGGTCCACAATTTAAATGTTAAAACTAGAATCGCTATATGATACCGCGCGAAGCGGTTTTCTGACGTTTTTCAATGGGGGTAGGGAACCCTCTTAAAATCCACCTGTATTGCCAGGCGTTTTTTAAATAATTTACTAACGCTTGCCAATCCCTGCCATTTAAAAAACTAATATAATCCCGTTCAGAAAGGACTCTATTGTGTAAAAATTTTAATCTAAGATTACTTAAAATTGGACAAATAGCGATGAAATGAAATGTGGTTTCAATTTCACCCATATTACAAAGAGAACAGAACTTATTTCCCGTTGACCAAGGTTTACCATTCAAATAGAGCAGCTCTGCCCTAGCCTTAATTATCCAGGAAACGAAGCTGACATCGGCGTTATCAGTAAGGTAGCTTCTATCGCCAAGTTCAAGGCCAAGGTCGAGGCTGATCAGCTGACTGTGGTGAATGGACGTGCGTGTGCGCCCTATACACTCTCCTATCCATACGTCACTCAGCTTTTCCACCACCGTCAGACATCTCGATTTTACCGCCTCTGATCCAAAATCTACATCAACCCCTACCTTCTCACCTAGCATCTTCCACTGTCTGCACCAATCTAAGTTTTGGTTTATAATTTGTTTGGCTAGAATCAAAGGAAGTCTATTATCGGAGAAATGTAGTACTTTTAATAGGTAATTTAAATTCGTAATCATATTATAAAAAAACAATTTTTTAAATCCACTTTCTAAATAAATCACATAGTTTGGCGTGTTATAAGGCAACCGAAAGAGTCTCTTTAAAAATAATTTTTGAACGGATTCTAGGAATTCAGATTCGAAGCAACCCCATACCTGAGCCCCATAACTAACAATTGATTTTATGACGGAATTAAAACACATAATTTTAGATGATAAAGGCACAGATTTATTATTGATTAAGTTATTCCACACCGAGTTAATTGCTAATTTTGCTTGCCTCGCTTTATCTTTAAAATGTGATTGCCAAGACAACGTCGCTGTGAATAACACTCCGAGGTATTTATAGCAGTTTACTACTTCTACACGTTTCCCATTGAACCACCATTTATCTGACGAGGCCAATTTACCCCCATTCCTGAAAACGATTATTTTTGATTTTTCAAGATTAAATCTCAAATTCCATGTTTCACAGTAAGTTTCTAAATTTCTTATCATAAGTTGTAAGCAGGTGGACGTAGGCGCTAACAACACGACGTCGTCGGCATATAAAAGAATGTTTATCCTAGTCCCTCCAAAATTACAGCCGCCACCAAGTGCCTCAGGGAGATCATTAATAAATAAAGTGAACATTAAAGGACTCGCAGAACATCCTTGCCTAAGACCTGTCGAAGTTTCAAAATTTGCTGTCACACTGTCTCCACACCACACACCCGCTCTAGTACCATCATAATAGTTCTTAAAAATATTTAAAAATTTTGTTGAAACACCTATACAGGATAACTTAAACAGTAGCGACTTCCTATCAATAGTATCGAATGCTGCCGAGAAGTCAACAAAGAAAGCATGTTTACCTCATATAACATTTGAACATGGATTGAAACATTAGATGTCTTTGGAATACTCTAAAAGTGAGAGGCAAAACATAACTTTCAGCAATGATGCATCGAAATCTACTTTTACTGAGTGATGCAGAAATGTAATTGTAAAATATTTTGTCAACATGACTAGAACGTTAATAAAATAGATGTATCAGCACGAAATTGTTTTTAAGATAAAAAATTGCAGCATAGGACAACTTATACAGTGTTCTAACCTAAAACATTGTTATTGTTTCAATGTAAATTTCAATGTATTCAATTGATACAAAATAACTACGTTACCAATTTATGTTTGTAAACAAATATAATTTTTTTAATGGTGTCATAAAATCAATTTAAATAATTATTTACTACACAAAATATGTGTAATGTAAAACATTGTTCACCACTCGGAGCAAAAGTATATTATTTATGGTACTTAAATTGTTTTATAGTACGTGGCAGTATAGTATTATTAGTTTATTAGTTGCTTGTTGCACTGTTCTACACACTGCTCAAGCGCTACAACTCATTTGGCATCCTGTCCACACACTGTTGATATATACTGAATTGCCACTATTTAGAGTGTAGGCTGGCGTGAGAATTGGCAACATAGCATTAGGAAGGTTATAGTTCCAGCGGACGGCGCGAGGCGCGCTAGCTACCGGTATGGTTTCGTGTTCCACAATTCGGCGTGTACCTGCGCTACTTAAACTCACATAAACGATTTCAAAAATACTCAATTGTGGCATGTGATGTTTAAACGACGTAATAATGCTGGAAACCCCAAAAAATGATCGAATTAGCTGTGGCACCCTGAAAAAGGTGCCACAATTTTTGAAGGTGCCACAGTACGGCCGTGTGCCTGTGAAGGATGCCACTATTCGGTGAATACAGACACACACACACACACACACGCACGCACACACACACACACACACACACACACACACACAAACACACACACACACACAAACGGACGGACATCACTTTGAAAACCACTTTTTTGGGTTCAGGGGGGACCCAAAACCGATACATCCATTCAAATCTCAAACTCGAAAATTTGAAAAAACAATACATTCTCCACAGGGGGAGAAAGTAAAAAGTTGAAGCTATGAGTACTGAACAGTAAAAGTAAGCTAACACAACAAACTTTTTTGTATGAATTTTAAAAGTATATTATACTGTTTTGGTATGAAATTAACTTCTTTATTACCTCCTCGTCTTTTTGTAGAAGCAGGCGGTCAGTTTCTGTGATGACTCCTTCTATTTGGGCTCCAGAGTCTCGTTTAAGCTTCCTGTAAAACCAAAATATACAATTAAGTTATTTAGTAGGCTACAGTGTAAGTATGTATTTGTATTTTAAACTAACATAATCTATAAGCTTTTTTTACATACCATAAAGTACCTATTTCATAGTTTTGGTAAGTTTTATAAGCTTTATTGAAACCAGTTTTGAAACAATCATGCCACTTCACTTTTAAAAAACTTGACTTGAAAATCCTGAAGCATGCAAGTTTATTTTTTAACTCAACTCAATTAACTGTTAATTGGCAGGAGGGCTTAGCAAAACTTTATCATCAATTAATTTCCCCCGGCATTAGTGAGTACTGGGGAACCGTAGGCAACTATGCTGAGATGCTTCCTATAGATCCCTTGAAGGACAACAATATTGACAACTATAAATAGTTTTTGAAGTCCAAGTTTATTTCCCCACTACTGTAACAGTGGCCCTCCACTATCAACATGTATTCTTACCCTCTCTCTCTGTTGGCTTGTGAGATCTGGGAGATACATTGTGCTCTAAAGTTCTCATAGTGTACATCTTCAGTTACGTCCTTGAGGTCCTGCATGTGGGTAGTTATCAGGAAGTTTCGCAGTTTGCTAAAGTCACTGTGCTTGGGATTTTCCACTAAAATAATATATCTAAATAAATATAAGTTCACAAACATTCTGTACCACTACATCACTGAGTCTGGATTGTACTAAGAAGTACAAAGGTTGAAATGAGCGTTATTAATAATTTGTTAAGGCATTATAAGTTCATTGTAAGATTACAGAATAGGTGTATCAGGTGACAACATATTAGTCAGTAAACAAGTAATTGTGACAAAAGCTGGTGTAGGCTGAATAATGATGAGTTCTAGACCAGACAATTAACTTAAGCTTATAATTATTGTTCTAAACAGCTCATTAATGGTTATCCTAGAATCATGAGATAAAATATCACCGTCGTATTTATAACAAAATCCAAACTTTTTTAATACACAAGCAGTGACAATTATTCCTCCAAACTACTGAACCGATAGACATGTTTTTGGTGTCATTGGAAAGAGCGTATTTTTAGGAAAATAATTAGAAAGTTAGGCCCTGGGGCCCTTTAAAGCTTCGTATTCCTCCACAAGATTAACAAGGGAAACAACATCGTTATGAAACTCCAGCTGTTGTCAGAAATTAAAAGTGAGAAGAAGAACATATGTTAATTGTAAACTGTCAATAAGTTTGTTAATTTAACAGTTTGCTACAAATATTTACTGACTTGGTAGAAATTAAATATTTACTATTTGAATTTGGGTTGGCGTAAATATTACAATGGGAAAAAGCGAGAGAGCCTGGAAAATTTGATATACTAAAAAGAAAACTGAATTAACGCTGTGCTGAATTTCTTAGTAATCGTTGAAAGAGCCGATTTGCAAACTATGGAAACATAGGAAAGTCATGAACACCACCAAGGAGAAGAAATAGAAATAATGTTTTTTTTTTATAATTTATAATTGTTAAAAAACAAGATCAGCTTTTGAAAAATGATAAGATATTTACAAGAAATGTTGATTATATCTATCTGTTATGTACATCTTGAGTATTTCCATTATTATTGAGTCAAGTCTTTTAAAGTCATCAGAAATGACGACTGTTATTCGTTTTAAAATAACGCCTGTAATATTATTACGTATATGTGTTTATTATACATATACATCTATATATATATAAAAGGCAAAGCCCTCACTGACTCACTGACTGACTGACTCACTGACTCACTCACTCATCACTAATTCTCCCACTTCCCCCACTTACCTAGGAGGCTGAAATTTGGTACACTGATTCTTTAGGCATTAAATAGGAAAACTAAGTGGTTTTTATTCTGATCGGACTCTCGGGCTCCGCCCCAGTGGCTCTAGAGTTTCCCATGTTAACCTAATGAGTACTCATATTTAAATGGAATTAATGAATCTTAACAGCTGTTTCAGTTAAACATGTTGGTTCTGTTCTATGATGTTCAATAGTATTAAAGTTACAAGGATTACCAACAGAGTGCAGCACTATTATTTTTTTAAATATTTGACAACAGCTAATTCGAAACCAAAAGGTGAGTGAGCGTAGCGAACGAACTTCAACCCGGAGGCGAGTTAGCGTAGCGAACGAGCTAACCTGAAGGCAAGTGAGCGCAGCGAACGAGCCCCAACTTAAAGGTGAGTGAGCGTAGCGAACGAACTTCAACCAGGACGTGATTGAGCCATGCGAACGAGCTCACATATGAAGTTAAACGGGGCAAAGCCCGCGGGTACAGCTAGTAATAATATATGTATATACAAATTCGAGCAACAGCAGGTACACTAGTTTCTTATAAATATGATGGTGATATTTTAATATACTATAGTATATTTAATATACTATAGTATATTTAATATACTATATAATGTACTGTAAAAAGTATCCACTTTAATATTTTTTATACTATTAGAAAATGGCTTATTTGTTAGATTAGCAAAATAATTAGTAACAAACATACTCCATCCATCATTACCTCCACAAGCCTAGGCTGTAGGCAATTTTTTTTGTTTGTTAAGTTCTATAGTAGGTTTAGACCAACAATCACATAAGATCAATAGATGGAGCACGCCTATCTAACTAACATTCAAGCAGCTGAAGCCAGGTCCGTCATCATACTGTAGGATAGAAGCGGTAGATGTCGATGAAAACGGCACCAAAACTCAATGTCCCGCTTCAAAATAACTTGATATTTAGCCTACTTAGACTAAAGGTAAATGTTTGAAACTTCGTATGAGAGATGTCAATAAGTCCAGGACACTATTGGTTCTAATTAAAAGCTTAAGAGTTAATATTCTCTATTTTAAATCTTCAAATAGAGTGGTACTTTTAAATGACTTTTAAAATATCGACATGACAAAGTTTGTCGGCTGCTACTTTTTGTATTTTTTGGTCAGGTAAGTTAAAAAATTGTGGATTTTGTAGCTAAAGAGTTGAATTTTTTTGATCATATTTTAAAAATTTTTTAGCTGATGTAGTTTGGTTGTAATTTAAATTGTACTATAGGGGCTACCCGCCGCGCCATGTTGCTTCATGCAGGCAGATCCTGCCTACAACCTCACTTGTAATACAGTTAAGATACTCAAGTTTGGAGCTATACAGAAAAGTTACTAAACTAATTAAAAAAAACACGGAGTACATATAAATGTTCTTCGTTTTATTCTTTGTATTCATTTAAAAATTAATATTTTGTTTAGCTCTTTTACAAAAATTAATATGACAGTCAGAATATAAAGGAGAGTTGTATAAAGAGTTTCAGAAACTATCTTGTGACTTTGAAAATGCGTACATTGCAAACCAAACGGCAGAACTTTATCAAACTTTAAAATATGATATAGATACCTATATTATAAATTAATTTGTAGCTTTTCCGAATTTTTCCTTCGCCCAAAAAGTTTTTGTTGTTAATTATGTAAACTAACTTTTTCTAAGAAACGGTAAACGCTAGAAAACAAATTAAAAGCATATTTTGAAAGTCATTGTGTTAGTAATAGAAATATTCATAATACAAAGGTGTATTGACACGGATATCATTGATATCAACTAACATCTAATTAGTTGCGCACGCTACTAGAGCTCATCACAGCCGGCAGCCGCCATCTTGGTGAAGATTAGTGAAAAATACTGATTTCTCGTCACGGCCAACGTGCTCCATCATTGGTCTTACTTATGTGATCGTTGGTTTAGACCTATCAGACTTATAATGTTCAGAGCAATGTTACAATGCAGATCAATAATTTTCGCTATTACAAGTTTTCAGCAGATGTTTACTTTTGAAAATAAATCTATAGCCATAGTTAACAAGAGGCATAAGTAGCCTACATAGAATATTATCAGTGGCGTAACTAACACCCCCGCAACCCCCGCCAAGGGTTCCCAGAGGGGGGTATGGGGCGCGTTTGCGCCACAGGAATTTTTTGAGGGGGACTTTTTTGAGGGAGATTTGGGGGAGATTTTTTTTTTTATAGCTGTCATAATGAATGTATTATTTTGTTTAAGGAGCCGGGAGCCCGAAAAAGTGTTTTAAAGTAGCTCACTATCAACACCAACAACATTTTGCCGTTCGTAATTAATTAAGATTGCTTCTAAGAATGGTAAAAACGCACCTTGTCAGACAATCCTTAATATACCAGTGTCGAATTTTTTACTTGCTACATATGTTTTGGACTTTGGTGGTTTTTTAACTCCACCATCGTCAGGATTTACAAAAGATCCACTTCTGGAGGTGTCGTCAGAATATGTTACAAACATTTAACACAAAACACGAAACGATTACAGATAGTGACTGAGAAGAGTGTTAAAAATGTAATGGGATTCATAATTAATTGAGTGTTTTCACTCAAAAATGTTGTGCTGTCCCTAGTTTTATGTATTTATATATTCCAAACTCTTCAAAGTATTTAATAAATTTCCTTTCGCTCAGTACTGTAAAATTTCGATACCATAATTTATATCCAGGATATTGGTTATTATTGTCACTAATTTTGAATGGAAAACTCAATTACGAATCCCATTATATTTTCAACACTCTCCGTCACTACAATTAGTCCAATATCAGCTTTTGATAACATAGACGACAATCCAGAGACCACGTCTTTCCGTCATATAACCTGATTCAGTTTACTTCCAGTCCTGCCTGCGGCATACACGCGTGAATTGAAAGGCCTATCTGTTATCGTTTCATGTTTTGTGTACAAACGGATTATCTGACAAGATGCGTTTTTGCCATTATTACTCATAAAAGGCAATCCTGGTGCTGTCAAACAAGTCTATCTAACAGTATTTCATGACTCTGCCTATAATTTTGAAACAAAATACTTTTTTGCCAAAGTATTGTTAATGCACCTAAAGCTGTTTGAATTCTTAAGCCCTGTAACAATTAACACCACCTAATATATTGTACAGTTACAGTACTGTGTTGGAGTAGAGTAATTCACCGAATATATTGTTGTACGTTTTGAAGACGTTGTCTATTGCAATACTAAGCACATGTTGGCTGAATTGTAAATTGAAAAACGTCTAATTTGTCCATTAGTTAGATATAATGATGTATTGTTAAATGACATGTCCTATTAAACATTTAATTTTGATTATCAGCAAGTTTGTTTTTCGTACGTCAAGTTTACTAAATACTTGAAATGCTCGTTTTATGAGGTAAAGGGAAAATTGTCAGATAAATTGGTGGGGGGACTACTCCTTTGGCTTCTCGGGGGGGGGGGGGGGGGGGGTGCACCACTGGGTTTGGGAGGGATGGGCACCCCTGACTCCCGCGTTGCGGGGTGGCGCCAGGTGGTAGAAGGTAACCACAATACACCAACAATACCACAATACCACAATAGTGGTAAAAGGTGACGATGTTTCCGTGACCGTGGGAGACGTTAATGATATCTTTAGTATAGCAAAAGAAGATATTGAGATTTTGCCGCAGTTGCAAAAATAATATCGCCGTTTCTGTAACCGCGGGAGACGATGATGATGCCTACAAGACCGGAGACATTCATGATTTTGCCGCAATTGCATGAAAAACATTGTGTCGCGAAGAAGATATTCATGATTTGGCCAGAATCGGGGAAAAAGATATCGCTGTTTCTGTGACCGCAGGAGACGAAGATCATGTCTGCAAGACCGAAGAAGATATGTTCATGATTTGGCCGCAATTGCATAAAAAAAAGGATTACGTCGTTTCCATGACCGTGGGAGACGAACATAATGTCTACAAGAGCGAAGAAGATAACAAAGATTTTGGCACTATTAAGGAAATATGTAACGTTTCTTGACTTTGGAAGACGATGATGATGTCTTCAAGAATGAAGAAAATATCCATGGTTTTGCCGCAAACGCAGAAAAAGATATCACTGTCTCCGTGGCCGCAGAAGCTGATGATGATGTCCTCAAAACTGCGGTTGATGTACAGGATGTTGCCGCAATCACGGAAAACGATGACAAGTTTCCATGACGGCGGTTGAGACAATGATCATGTCTACATGAACGCAGGATATATTCAAGATTTTGATGTGATCACCAAAAACTATGACAATGTTTCCATGACGAGGTTTTTAACGGGTTTTTGGATTTTGCCGCAATCATGGTTTTTGCTGAGATAAATGAATAAAACATATTACATAAGTTGTGATATTTTGGTAGGGGGGGGGGGTGCCATAAAAATGTACCGCGGAGCCATGAAAATGTACCGTCTTGATGTAGCCTACTTACGCCACTGAATATTATATGTACTTACTTTGACTTGCAAAGCCATAATTTGTTGAAAACTTATGATAACAAAAATTGGTTGATCTGCATTGTTCTAGCTAGGGCCTATGTAAGTGTAGTTCCAAAGTTAAATATATCTCTACCTTCTACAACACCCCAAGGATATTGCCTGCCTCGGACCTTGCAGCCTCCAACTTCTATGATGGTGTTGCTGCCCACAACAGCAAAGGGAATACAAGCTTTTAACTCTCTGTCTTGCTGCTTGAAGTCTTCGTCTTCATCACTATCACATTCTGGAAACTGGTAAATCTAAACAGAAAATGTACAACATTAAATTATATTGTACATACCATAAGTACTTATTTCATAGTTTTGGAAAGTTTATTGTGGTATTCTTGAGACGTTGATGATATATTTAGTATAGCAAAGAAGATCTTGAGATTTTGGCGCAATCGCTGAAATAGTTATTTGTGTGCGAGGTGGCCATTTGCTGCACATGAGAGAAATGTTTACTTGAAGTTTCTTGAGTGCAGCAAAAGCACTTTGTCCTAGCGTTACACATTATATTTTTCCCACAGTTACTATAAAGCATATACAGAAACGGCAATTCTACACTGCCAAAATTAGATTTCAATAGTGCTGTTACATAAACGAATTAATGATGTAGGGTTCAGAAGAAAAAAACAAAAATATAAAAATTTCATAACTTTATAAAATTGACCTTTATTACACTTGTCACAACCAATGTTGAATGTAGTATATAAAATCTCAAAGGGCTATCATAAAAAGTGGCTAGAACTTATTATAAATATATTTATAAAAGGTACGGTATATCATAATATCATAATTTGTTAATACAGTAGAACCCCTCATATGTAGAACCCCTAGGGTCCGATATGTCTACCTGTTTCCTGTCTGGGGAGAAAACGCCATATAGATAAAACATACTCCCTTATGGAACAGCTGAAGACAATTGTATTACATTAATTCTGTACGGTGTACAATTAATTTGTTTATTGTTATATCAGCCATTTCAAATCTCGTTTAGCCAAATATTACGATCTAATCATAAACAATAACTTGTCTCCTAGTTATATAACCAAACAGTAAAGCACAAATCAAGAAATTAATCCTAAAATAATAGAAAAAACGTTTTGTCAACACTAGCGCCCAATGTCACCGTACATGAACTAGACACGAAAAACGAATTTCAAAATTTACAACGGGATGAGAAGTCTACTTGTGTTTGTTGGACTATGATAGTGCCGAGCGTGATTGGTTACCGTACCTGAAAGGCCGACCACGTATGTTGCAGTAATCGCGGCAGACGATCACCACTGTCGCCGATAACGGGTGTTGCCGCCGTCGCGGGAGACGATTCCTGAAGTCGCAGAGAGTGCAAGTTATGCTCATAGCTGTTGCCGTGATCTTGGAGACTGCAAGCTATGCTCATGGCTGTTGCCGCGGTGAGGGAAATGATAACCGAAGTCTTGGAGACTGCAAGCTATGCTCATGGCTGTTGCCGCGGTGAGGGAGACAATTACCGAAGTCGTGGAGACTGCAAGCTATGCTCATGGCTGTTGCCGTGGTGAGGGAGATGATAACTGAAGTCGTGGAGACTGCAAGCTATGCTCATGGCTGTTGCCGTGGTGAGGGAGATGATAACCGAAGTCCTGGAGACTGCAAGTTATGCTCACGGGTGCTGCCGCAGTCGCAAGAGACGATTACCGATGTCGTAGAGACTGCAGGTTAATGCTCCACCTGATATCCAACCTTTTGGCTGTTCCGACCATCGCCCAATCCCGTCATGGTCGGTTATGAGAGGTTCTACTGTACAGATATATGCAGTCTGATAATACATACCCGAATTTGATTCTCTTCTATGTCTTGTAAAATTCGCTGTTTAAGTTTCCTCACTTCTCCACCAGTCAAGGTGTCCGCTTTAGCGATCACAGGAACTATGTTGACTTTGCCATGTAGCCGACGCATCAGCTCTAAATCTATTTGTCTAAGGCTGTAACAGAAAATATTGAATATCACTGAACAAAAATGTGGTTTGAATTATAACCACAAGTCCTTGTAAGAGTAGAGTACAACGGTGACTGGACAACTTCCAGAATTTAAAAGGATAATATGTAACACAGGTTTTTAATACTGTATTTAAATATTTCAAGGCCTATTGAATTTGTTGTATCTCTCCTTAAAAAATTATTTGAGAACCTAGTTTTCAGAACAATATTGGTCAATATAGCCTAACTTAATTTATCAGTAGAACAAATTTAAATCTTATTAACTACAAACACATGGAGGTTTGCTCAGGAATTCAGATTTGCTCACATCAGGGCCGGATTTAGCATTTCGGCGCCCCTAGGCCCAAATAATTTTCTGCCCCCTAGTCTTGTCAAAGTTATCATGTCCATAGGCCTAAAAGTTAATTGCTTGAATACCACTCCTTTTAGGAATTTTATCATTGCAAGTTTTTTGAAGAATTGACCCATTTAGCCTTAACAAAATGCCGTAATAAACACTTTTAGCAATCGTATGCTTTTAGCAAATGCTCATGTTTGTGGGACTGAAACAAAACAACTTGATCCACCGAGCATTCTTGCAAAAAACATGGCCATTAATTTCAGGCCCAAAAACATGAACTCCATGCAGTACGTGATACCATAGATTAAACATACTCCTTTAGTAGATTCGTCATCATTATGGATTAGCTGAAAACAATTCTTGTTATAAACTTAGTTTATCCGAAATAAAACGATATAATCATAAACAATAGGTCGTCTCCTGGTTATATTACAAGAAATTAAAACACATCATAGAACTAACCCTAAAATAATAGAAACAAAAGTACCGTACGTCAAAACTAACGTCCAATGTCACCAACATGAACTACACACGAAAAAGAATTTGAATTAACAATGTGGTAGAAAGTCGACTTGAGTTATATTTAATCTATGGTGGTACTGCATCTAGGTTATAGATTTCCAAAGCAAAACAGAGCAATATTCCGGCCAACCATACCGATCCTTAGGTCTGACGAGAAAATTACAGCATTAATGGTGCTTTGGAGGGTATTGAATTAGTCGAAAACCTGTTGCAAACTGAAATTAATATTTTTTCGTTAATTTTAAAGATAAATTAATCATTTTTTAAAAATATTCAACACAACGTATTATATATTTTAACTTGATCCTGCAGATTGTTATAAACTAATCAAAAGATTAGTCAATAACTTTTTTTTGTGAGTTATTTGTTTTGTGTTTTTGGTTAACAGTGTCTAGCACGCATGCGCCCCTAATTACTCCGATCAGTAGCACCGAGCCAACATAGTGGCAGTGCAGTGGCAATACGATGCGTACAGCACAGCTCGGGCGCTCGTCAACAGCCTCCCGTACCAATGTTGTAATGAAATTGATGCGTAATTCAGAAAAATAGTTTAAATCTTCTAACAATTATTTCTTTCCATCAACTTCAGAATCAGAATGCTTTATTAGCCAGAGTTAAAAAAAAAATCAACTATGAGGCTATTAATTATTTTTATTTTTAGATATAAAAAAAATTCTCTCGGCCTTGCGCCCTCTGGGAGCTTGCGCCCATAGGCCCGGGCCTACCGGGCCTATTGGGAAATCCGGCCCTGTTTGCTCAAGAATATATAAAGATAAATTATTTATTTGTATAAGGTGCAAAATATATTTTTCCTACAGCCACCCAACAAAGTTGGCTACCCTGTACTGTTTATAGTACAGAAATCTGCTAATTGCTGCATATTTATACTTTGTCGTACAGTTTATACTTTGTCGTACGGTTTATACTTTGTCGTACGGTTTATACTTTGGCGCACATCAGGATTCCAAGGAAACAACACAAAACAGCGTGGTTCTATTATGCACGTAATCCGTGTACGCTTGGAAATAGGCTGGCAACACTTGAAGATAATAATACTATGAGCAGCTGATTTACTATTATAACTACGATTTAACCTGTCATTTAGTGTTTATAGTTTCGGTATTTCTGAACTTTCTGGACTTTTCTTTTAAACGTTTTTAAAACATTCGTACGATCTTAATGAACAAGAAAATACCTTGAAAATAAGTTGTCAACACTTAAAGATATTACGTCCGAGGAGACCGCAGATCATCTACTTTATGACTGTACAGCTCTGTACGAGGAAAGGTAAAGTACTCTGGGAACAATGGCCGACACCTTACTCAGGAGGAGCTCATAGATAGGATGCTGCAGTTCATCAAGCAACTCAGGTTTGATGGGCTCTGGCGCACCAAGTGTGGAGCACAAAAAGCCCATCTGTGGCTGACGTGCATCAGGACAATGTCGACCCCGTCAAAATCAAACATTCAATCAAACCAGTACATCCCCAACAAGCGTTACCTATTTAAATTTTAACTATGCATGTACAGGGTGAGACCAAACGGATTAAGCAGTTTCACTTGCGTAGTACTTCAGCGGTGTAGGTGAAAAGCGGACTTTTTTGGTCTTGTTGTGAGTTGTCACCAGTCACTCATCCCATTTCGGTAGGTATTAAGGTTCAGATCGGACAACATCGAGGTAATGCAGTGTGTGAGTATTTCCAAAACATCAAGTCAGTTGTAGTATCAAAGGGAGGTTATCACAACTGGTGTTCTCAATGATCTTCGTCTTCTGTGTTCCTCAGATTCAAAGGTGTTATAACACATTATTCAAACTATTTATCTAACAATTATTGTTTTGTGTGTGCACTAGGAACAATGTTGTTGAGGGGAATAAAATGCCACGGGCAAAAAACTCTTTGCGTCGCAATCACTGACTTGTTGTTTTGCAAGTACAGTATAGGCCTATTATTATACAATATAGCCTATATGCATTCGGTCTAAACATTGATGGCTACTGAAATTATATGAGTGACGGATAGCAATTGGAACAAACCCGTATACAAATGTTTGCTTAATCCGTTTTGCCCCAACTCGGCAGAAATAAACCTTATTCTTATACTAAATATATATATGTACCCGTGGCCGTATGGAGGGATGAAGTAAAGACAGCAATGAACACGGTTGTCTTGGATATTTTTTCTGTTCAGGCCACTCTCATCATTGAAGTACTGACGGAACTGGTCGTCAATGTAGTTGCAACAAGCTCTCCAGCTGTCCTCACAGTTTACTGCATCTCCGAAACCTGTGGGAACCTCATCAGGAGTGACTACTAGTACTAGTAGTTGCAACTTTTAGTACCAGAGTACTTAATTTCTAACCATTAAACAATTTAACAAATAATGTAGTCTGCAAAAAGTAATCTATGTTCATATTACAGAATTTGACAACGATTTAACAACAAACTACATAGGTTTCATGGACCTGAATAAACATGTTGATGCTTATGGCCTTTATAGGCTATTCTCCAAAATGAATAAATAATGAATTTATTTTCCTCAAAATCAGACACTCATCATGGAATATAGACTTAAGGGACGGGATAACAAATGTTTCTCTTAATTTATTTCAAGAATTTTACTAATTGATTTAACTGTTGCCAATATATTCCAGCACCTATAGGGGGTTCAGTATGCACTGAAAGTGTAGGTAACTCTTTTTTACTTTTGATTGTTGTTGAGGGTAGGGCCGCATTTAGCCAAACGGCGCCCCAAGGCACACAAAACAGTTGCACCCTCCCTGCCGTAATATTGGTGCGAAACTTAAATAATGTCACGATCATTGTCATTGAGTATAACAATATACAAGGATAATCCGTTGATATTTTAAATAGGGTAAATCAACTCCTTTAAAATGTATATCATTTAAACTTCGCAGTAATTGGCATATTACCTGTCACTGATACTACACTTCTAATGAGATTAACTGAACGGCAATGATAAATATCTTCTGTCAGAATATCTCAATCTTGTAGAATGTAGAAGTGGAACATTTACAATACCATATTGTATTGTAAGAAATATATATGTACCCACAGGTTTTAAATACATAATAATTGTTGATATTCTCAAAATTTTATTTGGATGGTGTGTAAAATAACTTGAAAAGTATGAGTTGTTTAGTCATTTATATGACTGTTTATATTCTGTTTATTTAGCATATAAACAGAACGACACAACAGGTTAGTGAAAAGGAGAGAATAACACAGCTGACTTTTGGCAGTCGCTGTAGCGATGTCGTCGGGACAAAATGAAATATCCCACGCAAAAGAGCAGGTTATTCCCAACACGGCAGTATGGCAGTACCAAACAAACAACCTTTCTTCTTCTTCGATTCGCTTACTAAGCGCGGCAAATTCAAACTACACTTGGACGCGCCTGCGCGCCAGTGGGCTGGTAGCAGAGCTACCGGTCTGACACTGGCGCTCAGGCGCGTTTGTAGGATTCATTCAAGAGGTTTAAATTTTGCGCCCCCTAAAATTTGGCGCTTAAGCCTGGGCCTAGTAGGGAAATGGGAAATGCAATGCGGTACTGTTTGAGGGCATCTTGGAGATGACAAAAACCGAAGTTGTCGCCCTCCCAGCAAGTGCACAACTTGGCGAGTGGGGGGGGGGGGGAAGTAGTGCTGAGGTGCATTCTAGAACATCACTCATATCTCAAGAACTAAACACGATAGAAACATGAACAGCATTGTATAACAAACTTCATCTGCTTTAAAAAAATTACGACGAAAAATCCCATAGCTCTATTATTAAATACGGGGAATAATTTTATTTTGCAGGGCCCACTCAATTTTACAAAGAGAACTAGGGATTGGGCTAACCCCCCTTCAGAGAGATGTGCCTAACCCGCTTGGCACATTAAACCGGGAGGATGAGAGTCACACAACAGGAATGGAGGAGACTCTTGAAGTCCTCATGAACACCCACTTCCCAGGGAACACCCCACTAGGCAACTCAACAGGACAACACTTGATACCCTGGAATAGGAAATCGCCTAGGGATATTGCATTGGCTAGAAGATTTTCAAGTAAGCTGTTCAAGCCGGAGGTCGTGAAGTGGGCTGTCGAATCATTCAGCCCTTTCAAATCCCCAGGCGGGGACGGAATATTCCCAGCTCTCATCCAGGAAGGACTAGAGGTCCTTATAAATCATATGATAGCTTTGTTCAGGGGCAGCTTTGCCCTAGGTTACATCCCAATCTGTTGGAGGAAATCAAGGGTGGCGTTTCTACTGAAAAAAGGTAGAGACCAGGCCCAGCCTAAGTCCTACAGGCCAATCTGCCTGTCGTCTTACATGTTAAAGACCATGGAAAAAGTGATAAACCGCCACATTAGGGACGCATATTTAGATATCAACCCCCTTAGTGCGAGCCAACATGCGTTCATGAAGGGTAAATCAACAACGACGGCCCTAAGCACCCTAGTGGCAAAGATCGAGGAAACTCTAGAAAACCAGGAATTCCTGGCAGGGGTCTTTAAGGACATACAGGGTGCTTTTGACAATGTGAGTTATAACTCTATAGATGCTGCAGTCAGAAGCAGAGGCATCTCCCCCGACATAGCAGCTTGGATTAACGCTCTGCTCAAGAGCGTTCTGGCGGTGACGGCAGAATTGGGAGGCTACTCGACAGCTATCATAGCTCGACAGGGATGGCCTCAAGGAGGAGTTATCTCACCCTTGTTGTGGGCTCTTGTGGTGGACGATCTATTGAGAGAGGCTGATAGGAGAGACATGGACCTCCAAGCCTTTGCAGACGACCTAGTAGACTGGCGACGCACTGAAACCAATGACATTCCAAAAGACCACGTGTTGTCTAGCACTACGACGCCGCGTGGCGGAGTATCGACCGCCTACAGTTGTGACGTAGCGCCTGAAGAGGTGGGGGTGTAGCACAGCCTGTATATCTAGTGCGGCCTTGGTAGGCTATTACCCCAACCCCACAAGGAAAAAAAAGCATTTTATACTTATATGCCAACCCCGTACGAAGGACGGGTACTCTGCTAGTTAAAAATATAGCTACGGGATTTGTCCTTGTACTTTTTTTAAAGCAGATGAATTTTGTAATGCAATGCCATTTAAAGCATGTTTGCATGTTTCTATTGTGTCTAGTTCATGAGATATGAGCGATCTTCTAGAACGTGCACTACTTCCCCCCCCCCCCCTCCACCAAGTTGTGCACCTGCTGGGAGGGTGACAACATCGGTATTTCCCACGATACGTCTGAGAGGCAAGCGGCAGTAAGCGGCACCACTCAGCGCCGCTCCTATAGTTCCAAGTCAAAACCTATTTTCGCAAAAACGCCGCTCACCGACAGGGAAACAGCAGCAAACATGCGATACGGGCTCTGCAGGTGCGTGAGGTGCAGTCCAGCGAATGTTTGTGGAATGACCAGCACGGAAGTTTTAAAACACTTCAGTCCCCAGAAAAGTATGGGCAGGGCCGTCCGAAGGGGGGACAACCGGGGCAGTTGCCCCGGGCGCCGTGGCTGAGGGGGCGCCGTACAGCGGCTATTTGTATATTAACATAGTATTAAAATATGCGAATGCTACTACTACTGGTGGGGAGGGGGCTCAACGACCACGTTTGCTCCGGGCGCCGCCATCCCTAGGGACGGCCCTGAGTATGGGACCAAGTTAAGGTTAAGGTTTTTCTAAAAAACTAAGTTTTTTTTAAAGGCAAACAATTGTCAGATAGCAACAATAGTTGCAATACGTCTTGCAGGTAAGCATAGTTTACCATTTTCGACTAAACTGACTCATAAAACTGGGGAAATTTTATGAGCGTTATAAATGTGCAGTTTGTATCATAGCCATCACCGCCACTTACGTGCCGCTCAGGTTACCGCTTGCCACTCACTGCTCACTGCTCGTATCGTACCCGAGGCCTAATATATTTCTTTCTATTAAAAGAGAGTAAGTTGTGTAGCCATTTCCGTACTTGAAACTTTTCATTTAAATTGTCTTTAATTTAGATTTAAAATTATTTTGTGTAAAATATTGGCATTAGATATACAGTGATAGAGCCAGAGGGGAATGACTCATGATTTATAGGAGAAGTTTACACGAGTTTAACATAACAAACTAAACCATTGTAAATCATAATTATGATTTTGAGTTTTCAAACATAAGAGTGGATTAATTGCCAGGTCTACTACTTTACATCTATTTCAAGTGTTTTGACTAAGTAAATTGAGTGGCAATAATCAAAGATCAATACAAGTTCCAAGTTCTCTAAAGAACTCAACGTACATCGGTCTAAGTATTAAAAGTTTTATATACAGTCTATAAATAATTATTTTTAACAAAATATATTCACATTTTTGAAAAGATTTCACACATACATAAGATTTACCATTGATCTAGAGATACAACTGGAGGTAGCACTGAAAGAGATAATAGAGAGACGTAGGCTGCCATATGTACTAGGGATATATAGTACAGATGGATTTTTTTAGCTAGAAGCAGTTATGGTGTGGTGGAATATCTTTGAAGATGAACCTATTTGGCTATAGTGCGATCATTTGTTCATATGTGTCAAATTTTGAGGTTGCAAAACATCTTCCTTCCTATCCAAACTTAAATAGAAAGAATTATCTATATAATTAATACGCTACATGAAACTTTGTCGGTTGAACTCCTCCGCCATTTCTTAACCGATTTTATCCATTGACGTCTCATTGGAAAGAGCGTATCACGTAGATTTGCAAACTGGCCTTACATTTTTGAAAAAGTCCCTTGGGTTCTGCCCCAGTGGCTTTTAAAGTTCCCATGTTATCCTTATGGAGAACATAATTGTTTACATTTTGATCAGCTGTATAATTTAATTGCTGTTATTTATTTTTCAATTCTATGAAACGCATTGAGTACATTTATTTACTATTTGAGTTTGTGTCAACATAACCCCCAAGACGGATCGTGTTAGTATGGTTGTATCCACGAATAGGTTGTATCTTCAATTTGTGTATTTATCGTTGTTTTGTGTCGCTATGACGGATCGTGTTAGCATGATTGTACCTTAAACTTGTGCACTTATCGTTATTTTGTGTAGCTATAATTTGTTTATTTGTTGTAAATGCCTCCGACGTGACGACAACGAAACATAGACAGGAGGCGTAATCGTGATAACGACCGCGGCTTCAGAACAGTGGCGCGTAATAGGCTTAACTCATCACAGTCAGCACCTGACTTTGGACAATCTCAATTATTAGGTTACAAATGCGCCCTAACTCTACCCCCAAAACGACTTTTCGTTATCAATTGGCCCTCTATCAATGACCTGTGTTGCCTGTACAGCGAGGCATTTTGAGAAGGAGAAAACCGGCAGGAATGCTTTAGGTTTATCAATAACGAAGATAAACATGGTCTGAGTTACACGGTAATCTTTGAATTGACTCTTTTAAACTCATTGTAAATATGACTGTTATTCGTTTTGAAATAACTCCTGTAATACTTTGCAATTGCTCGAATTCGAGCAACATGTACACTAGTTCATAATTAATTATAGCCCAAGAGCCCATGACTGCCAGTCCTTCGTCATTTTATAAAAGCTGAAAGTTTCTCAGCAAATGCTTCCAGTTCAATTAAGAATGATCAGCGACTATGACATTTGGATTTTGGTTTTTGGTTACTTTGGCAACAAAAAGGTAGGTAAGTAGGTGACAAAGGTCTGAAATTTGCAAATAACCATCGTTATAGTATAAAGCTTGGTTTTTTCATATTTTCTTCGGAGAAATGTTAGAAATCATTTCCCCCATTGCCAGACACTTTGTGCGGTTTAAACCCTCTGCCAGACACTCTTAAAACTTAGGTATGACGAAGATTAATTTTCGTCATTTTATAAAAGCTGAAATTGATGTTACTTGGGGAGCTATCAAAAGACGTTTTCTCAAAAGCCAGACACTTTCGTTGGTTACTTCATCTAGCCAGACACTTTAAAGTCTGCCGTGATAAGCTTAACCGTTACCTGCAAACAGTGAATTCAGTTCCAGTTGGGAACAGATTTCTGTGCCAAATGTAAACGGTGAAATCAAAACTTATTTCTAATCGTAATTGCGTTAATTTACATCATAGTATAAATCCTGAATTTGATATATGTTACTTGGGAAGCTATGAAGAGACATTTCCTCAAGAGCCAGACACTTTCGTTGGTTATTTCATCTGGCCAGACACTTTAAAAGTCTGTAGTAATATAATAGGTAGTAGGTACAGTACTATAGTTACAAACAGTGACTTCAAAACACTGTAGGAATAAACAAACAATTTAATGCAAATATAACATATGTTTACATCAAACATATGGTTTATTATAAAAACAGATTGTGAAGAAGAAAAGGCAAACTGGAACTGAATCTACTGTTTGCAGGTAACAGTTAAGCTTATCACGGCTAGGGGTCTCAATCCCGGGCCTTCAATCCAATCCCGGGATTTCGGGATTCGTCTCAGCCGATCCCAGGATCCCAGGATCAATCCCGGGATTATATAATATTATGATTTTTAACTTTTTAGCCATTTTAAATGAGCGAGAAGTCCCCTTGTTGAGTACTTTAATGTTTCAAACTTTGGCCAGTGTTACCAGTGTTACACTGCGCAATGTTTCAATTTTCTAAGTAAATAAATATTACCACGCGGAACTTGGCCCGTATTTCTTATTTACAGTGTATAAATGTTGATATGTCACTCTAGAATATAATAAACACATTTCAAAAAAATCACGAGCAACCGCACTCGCACGTAGGCAATACTAATAGATAGATTAAAGATAGCTAAGAGAAAAAGATAAAATGGGAAGAATCACGAGTAGCAGCATAAAAATGTTATTTTGAGCAATAAAAAAATATAAGATACTGTAAAACAATAAACCATATGTTTATGTAGTAGCAAGTATATGAAAAACGTAATTTTAGATTGTAAGAAATTTAATCACGACACTAATAACCAAATACGAAGATAAAAGTCATAGACAATAAATATAAGCAATCTTAATAATGATATTATAATCGTGTGTTTATAGTTATATACCGTTATAACTTCCATGAAAATAATACTTAAATTTCCGATTGTAACGTTATGTTTGCTACACGAATTGTGTTATGTTTACGTTTAATGTCAAAAGTAAAACTCAAAACAACTTGTAGGCCTACTGTAATTAAGTTCTAAATAATGTAATAACAACTACAGAAAGTAAATCCAAATCGTCTAAAAACTGAAACATATATTTAGGCCTACATTCGTTCGCCTATTTGAGTTTAATGATAATTAAATTTTCCAATCAAAAAAGATAATTACTTATACCATTTCATATAATCGTCCTAAAAATAAAGAGTATATGTGTTTCAAGTGTTATTTAACTATTTTTTTTTAATTTTCTGTAAGTAAAAGTCCTAAAATTCACAAAAAAATAAATATAAACAAAGGTTTTGCAATCCCGTTAATCCCGGGATTAAAAGACACCAGTCCCGGGATTTCTAGGTATCAAAAATCGGCCTAGATCCCGGGATTGAGACCCCTAATCACGGCAGACTTTAAAGTGTCTGGCAAGATAAAATAACCAACGAAAGTGTCTGGCTTTTGAGAAAACGTCTTTCGATAGCTCCCCAAGTAACATATATCAATTTCAGCTTTTATAAAATGACAAAAATTAATCTTCGTCATACCTAAGTTTTAAAGGTCTTTGGCAGAGGGTTTAAACCACACAAAGTGTCTGGCAATGGGGGAAATGATTTCTAACATTCCTCTGAAGAAAATATGAAAGAACCAAGCTTTATACTATAACGAAGATTATTTGTAAATTTCAGACCTTTGTTACCTTTTTGTTTTGTAACTAAGATCCAAATGTCATAGTCGCCGATCATTCTTAACTGAATTGGGAGCATTTGCGGAGAAACTTTCAGCTTTTATAAAATAACAAAGGTCTGGCAGTCATGGGCTCTTGCTCTATTACAAACAGCTGAGTGAAGTCAATGAAAAGGTAGTATTACTGGATAAGCTGGTCTTGTTTTGCTCACCTGGTGTGTCCACCACAGTTAGTCTCAATTTAACACCTCTCTCTTCAATGTCCATACTCTTTTTCTCTATGGCTGTTGTTTTGTTGATTCTATCTGTAATACAAAGCATCATCAACATTCAACCAAATCTATACTAATATATAAAAATGAAATGGTGTGTGTTTGTGTGTGTGTGTGTGTGTCTGTCTGTTACCTAATAATGCAAGAACCACTGAACCGATTGAAATAAAATTTTGAATGAAGGTATAGCTTATAAACCTGTTTAACATATAGGCCTATTCCTGTTATTATATTTCCCTTGGGCTACGCCCCATGGGCTTCCAAAGTTTCAATGTTTATGTGGTGTATTAATTTAATTATAAAATGAATTATATATTTCTAATTCAGATTCAAATATTACAAGTATTAAATTTGCTAGCTCGATCCATGTACCGTTAGATATCGTACGATGTGACGTCATATGGCCTGATCGAATAAACTAACCCCATTGGTTGTTTCCATCACACCACCTTCCGTTCCCACTGCTACCTCGATCACCCGACACTCTCTGTACAACAGTCATCTTCCTACCTCACCGGCTCCCGCACACCAATGCGGTTTTTCTTAACATAAAATGTGTTAATTATTTCGAGTACCCGATCCTCCTTCGCTCGCATCCAGGATCGGATGCGACAATGGCGACGAGTGCGACAACCTACTGCGTGGATAAAGGAAGCGCGTTTTACAGTGCAGTGCCATTGTTTCGGTACGTTACATGCCACTAGACGGCAATTTTTACACCGCGTTCGGTAAATTAACGTTGATAGAAGAAGAAGTTACTACAATGAGTGTCATCGGAAATTTCGGGCCGTTCGACAGTTCGGAGGAGACGTGGTCTACATACGTGGAACGTTTTGAACTTTACATAAAGTGTAATGGAATTTCGGACGACAAGAAAGTAAGTGCTTTTCTAACAGTAATCGGAGTTAAATCGTACAATCTGCTGAAAGACTTAATTACGCCTGAAAAACCATCGGAGAAGTCGTTTAAGGACATTGTGAAAGTGCTACAGGATCATCTTCATCCTAAACCCTCGTTTATCACGGAGAGGTATAAATTCAGCAAGCGCGACCAACTAGAACACGAGACTATTTCGGAATACATCGTTCATTTAAAGCAATTATCAAAGCATTGCCAGTTCGAGGACAAGTTACCGGACTATCTCAGGGACCGATTAGTGAGTGGTATTCGGAATAATTCCATAAAGAAGAGACTACTGGCGGAGGACAACCTGACGTTTACCAAGGCGGAGCAGCTGGCGACATCGCTAGAGACAGCAGAGAAGGACGCAGCATCCCTGACGTACCACGGCGGCAGCGGCAGCACGGGGACAGCTATGAGGCTTCAGAGATTCTCCTCAGCGCAACGACCTCAACGCAGCAAACAATCAAGTGCATCAAGTGCCGTTCCAAGTGTTGTGCAATCCACAGAGTGCTATTGTTGTGGAAAAAAGGGTCATTTAACGCACCAGTGCTATTTTCGTGAATACGTGTGCAATTTTTGTAGAAAAAAGGGTCATTTGGAGAAGGCATGTAAATCAAAAAAGAGGGGTAAGTCCTATCATTCTACCTCTAAAAATAGTTCAAATGCCAAAGTTAATTACTCCAAAAATACTCAGGGTAACAGATACCAACATAAACAATATTATGTGGAAGTAGATGAATCTAAAAATAACGATAAAGTTGTAAATGATGAGGTATATGACATTTCTAATATTTTTCAAACTGACAGTGAACTGAATGTTAATGTAAATCAGGGTATGGTCAACAAAATTGAACCTATTAAAATAGATTTGCAAGTAGAAGGTAAACAAATGAGATTTGAAGTAGATTCAGGTGCTTGTGTTTCTGTTGTTTCGGAACAATTTTACAATAAGCACTTAAGTGATGTAAAACTAAACCCCACAGATCTAGTTCTGAGCTCCTACACTCATGAAAAAATCAAACCTGTAGGTAAAATCAATGTTAATGTTAAGTACAAATCAGTAGAAAAATGCCTATCATTGTATGTTATAAGCAATGGTGCTAATCCTCTAATTGGTCGGGATTGGATTAAAGATCTCCAAATTGTTGTTAGTATCCCCAACAATGTAAATAGTGTAATGTCGACTTCAGATGAAGTAAAAGTAGAATCCGGCAATGAGTCTAAAGTTGTGCGAGATTTGTTAAACGAATTTCCAGAGGTATTTACCACTAAGCTAGGCTGTTACAATGGAGATCCTGTTAAGTTAAAGCTCAAATCAAATGTAGTACCTAAGTATTACAAACCAAGACCTATACCTTATTCTTTAAAAGACAAAGTAGAACAGGAATTACAATGTTTAGTTGACGATGGTATCATTTCCCCTGTTTCAACTAGTGATTGGGGTACACCTATTGTTCCCGTACTAAAACGTAATGGCAAAATACGCATTTGCGGTGACTTCAAAGTTACCTTAAATCCATATCTAGAAGTAGATAGACATCCTATACCTCGCATTGAAGATCTTTTTGCAATCTTACAGAAAGGAAAACAATTTTCTAAAATAGATTTATCATCAGCCTATATGCAACTTAGGTTAGACGATGAAAGTAAGAAACTTTGTACCATAAGTACACACAAGGGGTTATTTGCATATAACCGACTTTGTTACGGAATATCTTCTGCCCCAGGTATTTTTCAACGGGTAATTGAGCAAACACTACAAGGTATCCCGGGTGTAGCGTCATTTCTTGATGATATTATTGTTACCGGAGCTGACACAGCTGAACACCTGTCGAGACTAAGAGAAGTGTGTAGTAGGCTAAAGACAACAGGATTAACTGTTAGTAAAGATAAATGTCAATTTTTCAGTGATAGCTTAGAGTACTTAGGGTACGTAATTAGCCAAGAGGGTCTTGCCACATCCAAAGATAAAGTCAAAGCCATTGTAGAGGCACCAGTTCCAAAAGATGTTACACAGCTCAAGGGTTTTCTAGGTCTAGTTAATTACTATGCAAAGTTTGTACCAAATGTTGCTACCATTCTAACACCCTTGTATCAATTATTAAGGAAAGACGTAGTTTTTATATGGTCTTTGTCATGTCAAAAGGCGTTTGAAGCTATAAAAGAAAGATTAGTTTCAGCTAATGTGCTAGCGCACTACAACCCAGACTTGCCAATTAAATTGTCATGTGATGCGTCACCCTACGGCATCGCAGGAGTGTTAAGCATTGTTGACAAAAATGGAATAGAAAGACCAATTTCATTCACAAGTAGAGTACTAAACTCAGCAGAAAGGAACTATTCTCAAATAGACAAAGAGGCACTAAGCATTGTTTTCTGTGTAAATAAATTCAATCAGTATTTATGGGGCAGGAAGTTCACTCTTTGTACAGACCATAAACCACTATTAGCTATATTTGGTTCGAAAAAAGGGTTACCAGCATTTGCAGCTGGCAGACTACAACGCTACGCGTTATTTTTGTCAGGTTACGATTACGACATTAATTATGTTAAGTCACAAAATCATGGTAACGCGGACGGATTGTCTAGACTTCCGCTAAATTGTAATGACAGGGAAGAAAGTAATGTAAATATTGATTATTTAGGAACATATCTCCAATGTATATCAGAGTGCGATGTACCAATAGATTTTAATGATGTGCGTAAGGAAACTCAAAAAGACAGTGAGTTAAACAGAATCCTTGGATTTGTTTTGTACGGCTGGCCAATCAATTCAGACGTTAATCTAAGTGACTATGTCAAAAGGCAAGCTGAGCTAACAGTTGAACACAGAATACTAATGTGGGGCTATAGAGTAGTCATTCCAAAATCATTAAGAGGGGCTTTATTAAAAGAATTACATAATGGACATCTAGGAGTTGTAAAAATGAAGTCGTTAGCCAGGTCGTATTTATGGTGGCCTTCTATTGATAAGGATATTGAGGCCGTGACTAACAGTTGCTCAGCGTGTCTTGCACAGCGGGAATCTCCTGTTAAAAGTAAACTTCATGTATGGGAATTTCCTCCCAATGTTTGGCAAAGAATTCATGTCGATTTCCTTGGACCATTAAAAGGACAAATATATTTAATTGTACTAGACGCCCATAGTAAATGGATTGAGGTAGAACTTGTTAGTTCCACTTCAGCCAAACAGACCATTGACAAACTCAGGCCTATGTTTTGTAGATTTGGCTTACCAGAAATAATAGTTAGTGATAATGGTCCACCTTTTTGTTCTGAGGAATTTTCTAAATTTTTGAAACAGAATGGAATAAGACCAATCTTGACTCCACCTTACCATCCAGCTTCTAATGGCCAAGCTGAGAACGCGGTAAAATCAGTAAAGAAAAGATTAAAATGTGCAATCTTTGAAAATGAGGATGTAAATATAGCTTTAAGTAGATTTCTTATCTCTTATCGTAACACAGTCCATAGTACCACTTGTGAATCTCCCGCCAAACTTATGTTTAATCGACCATTAAGAACTAGGTTAGATTTAATCAGACCAAACATTCAGTCAACTGTTGCTCAAAAACAAGAGAAACAGATCATAAATGCAAGGGGTACTCATACTAGACAATTAGCTATAGGACAATGTGTACTAGCGAGAGACTATAGAGGGAAGGATAAGTGGGTTGAATGTACGGTTGTTAGACGACTAGGGCCAGTAACATACATTGTACAACTAGAGACAGGCTCAACTTGGAAGCGACACATAGATCAGCTGGTAGGCTTGCAATCAGGCAGCAACATCAACACGGAACATAGCAGATACTACGATCCCGTGACGTCAACATCAGCTGTTACTACTTCCTGTGTATCGTCAGCACCGGTGTCGTCACCAGCCAGGCCGCCCCACCAGCACACCCAGCCTCAACAGCTGAGTTCTCCCACTACTACGCGTCACTCACCAACTACACGCCAGTCCGAGCGGCATAGTCCTATTGTTGCAAAACGCCATTCTTTACAACCCGATCAGCTGACTGCTACGTCACCTGTTACAACTAATACTAGGCGATATCCACAACGCGATAGGAATCCTCCAAAGAAAATGGATTTGTAATTGTTTGTTATGGTTTTATATTTACGCT